GTCATGCTATAACGCAATCGATTCAACTAATACCATAACTCACCTGAACTTACCTGGGTGTCCTGCGTTCACCTTTGCACTTAAAAGCATTCCTAATAATTATATGCAAGTAATATACATATGGATATACCATGATGCAATCTAATACTCAACCATGTCGTAGCATTTTCAATTATAAACAATACAGTGAGAAGTGTACAATCAATAACGCCCTACTCCCAAACTACTTATTTTCAAGGATAATTATCCATAACAACCCAATTAACACTAATTTAACAAACTAATTCATAAAACTAAAACTTTCTTTTACCAATTTCCTCCGCATTACTCAATTTCCCAAGCAAGGCTTTTGTCTCAAATATTTTATGGCTACATCTAACGTCTCGTTAGACTGCCTACGTACCCTAGACAGGGATCAAGCCATTCGTAGTTCATATAGGTACTTCAAGCATTCACAATAATTATACGAAGGTAATATACCTAATCAATTTAAAAGTGTCGATAGAACTCTCAACAATATGTACGATAAAAAGGAAAAGATCCACTCACCTGGAGTCCACGCTATGATTCTCTAGCGCACACATCGAGGCGTCCTGAATGATTGGTCCCTGTGACCAATTATCAAATCACATCTCAGAACTCTTATCCGAAGAATACGTAATTCACATAAAACACAACCTCAACGACATTCTAAAATAGTTTGAGACCTATTGACCACAAGTCAACCGTCAATCAAAGATCGACGGTAGGGTTTACAACCCTGTATAACTTGACTCGGAAGATCCGCATATCAGATTTCCAATCCGCAACTCCCAACGATCCACAATATGTTTCTAGAATAACATATTAAAATTTCATTACGATCCAACGGTCAGATCTCCGCCTATTGCCTAAAACAAGTGGCCGTGAACATTTATTTTACTAACTTACAAATCCAATTCAGGAAGATCTGTAAGTCGGATTCCCGATCCATAAATTCCTATGATCTTTAAATATCACGTATTATAATGTATCCAATTTTGGTGACGATCCAACGGTCGGATCATCGATTCACATTTTTATCAAGTAACGTATCGTAACGAATTTAGGTTCCAACTATCAACCTACGTCGTTCAAATGATAAAACTGAATTCAAGACATTTGACATAGCCTAAAAATAGCATTGGCGGCCCACTGGCCATGCGTCGCCGCACGCGCCGCCGCGGGTGGCGGTCGGCTGCCCCAACTCGCCGGAAAATCCAACTATTTTCAAAAATTCTCAAACTTCACAGAAATGAAGATCTCAGTGAGTGGAGCAGCTTTCATACCTGCCACGAAGTCCAAAAGTGGACGGAAGATGGTCAATTTTGCCCACAAAGCCAGCGGGTGCCTAAAACTTCCCGACGTCGATTCGTCGTCTACAGTGGTCCAACGGGTCAAGGTTGGTTGGGTTTTTCTCCTGGGATGATGGGCTACAAAGCCCAAGTGGTGGCATCGGCCATCGCTTTGCCGATTTGCCGAAAAATCGAAAAGCGTAGCCGGAGCACCATTGATTTTTGTCAACTTTCGTGGCCTCAAACCGCCCCATACCATGGTTAATCAAGGTGGTTCTTGGGTGGGTTTTGTAGAGGGGAATGAGAGCTTCAAGATGGTGGTGGTGGCATTGAAAAACTCCACCGGAGTTGGCCGGAATCGGCCTTGGAAAATGGTAGTGCGGGTAGACGGGAACCACTTCCTTTTCTACTTTTTTTTTTTCTTTTTTTTTTTTCCCTTTCCTCCCTCCATTTCTGATTGGGCTTCCCCCACAAAGTGGGGATTTAATTTAAATAAACACTAAACCTTGAATAACCAATTTCGAATGTCCGTAACTATACCGTTATAATCCGGACTCGCAAACGGCTTTCGCCTATACGTTCGTACCAATAAGTACTACGAGGATATGCTAAAAGAATAAGTCCCACATCTCTCAAGTCGATGGTCAACGGAAGTCAAAGTCCTTGCCTCTAGGGTAATTTCGTAAATTCACGCTTTTAAATTAAAATAAAAACGTAAAATTTGGAACGGGTTGTCACAGACACAATTTTTTACGGTTATATCCGACACAATTTTTTTTTGTTTTAGAGTATTTTCTGTCGGAAAATTCATTTCCTGACATTGGAAGATATGTAGCTTATTATATCCATCATTGCATCCATTTTCTGTCGGATTTTGCTTAATATCCAATAGTAATACACGTTTCTTGTCGGTTATCATAGCGACACTAATAAATGATTTTGTAGTAGTGATGTCAAATTTGTCAACATAACTAAAGTCCATCAGAATTGCAAGATTTGGTATTAAAAAAATATTCTAATTTTTTTAATTATATGTTAATATAAGGGAAAAAGTTTAGCACGAGTTTTGAATGAAAGGGAGGAAATAAACATCAGAGTGCAAATTTGAGGGAGACAATAAAAGATTTATATCGCGAAAATAGAAGAGTATAAATCCAACCTTTGACCAATTAAACAAGATCACCATTAAAATATTAGCCAAATACAATACCTAACCCCTCATATATTAGACATTTACGCAATTGCATCCCTCAAACCACACCTGAAAATTAAAAACAAAGCTCCATTCATTTGGGCACATACAAGGATTAAAATTTCTCAATCATCATATCATAAAGTTCAAAGAGATAACTGATGGTAAGTAGAGAATCTTTTTGCTCAAATCGAAACCCTATCCGAACCAATTTTTGAATCCAGAACATCTTGGTAATCATTACACCACACCAAATCAGAAAACCGAATACTCAAAAGCAGATCAATAGAGTTAAGAGGAGATATCAAAATCCATCAACATCCATAAAATATTTGTCAACAACTTAAGAATCAACAAAACAATCCTTAAGAACAAATACTCAGGAATTCACAAACCTTCAAATATAATCCTGTCCATACTTTTAAAATTGTTAAAAGAAACAATTGCCACAAATCCAGCCAAACCCTGAAAACACACTTATAACACTAAGAATGCAGAATTAATCATTCCCAAACAGATGAATCAAACCCAGTAACGCAATCCGAAAATAAAAAGAAATATATAAGGGAATTTAACCTGAAAGCATAATTAAATCAAAATTTTAATTTGGCAAGAAAAGTCGTTATGGCCAAGAATCCAAACCATGATCACTGACGCTAGTGCTCGAAACTTAATTATTATGTAATTTTGATACAAAATTGCGGAAGCATGTTTATGAAGTCTCAAATGATTGATTAGAAAAGATATCAAACCGAACGATAAACACAAGTTATGCTTTTGTAATATTATTTATCTACAAATTTTCGATTTAACAAATTATCTATTAATCAGACCTAAGCTTGTTGTGTTGCTCTGGTACCATATTAAGATATTTCTGAAATCATAAGAACAACAAGACATTTGGATCACGAATACGATAAACCAAACTGACATAAAAGGGAGATAAACTGGAGGAAGAAGAAGCCATGATTGCCAGGGTTTTGAAGGAGTCTTCTACTTTCAGCAAGCAGAAGTGCTCCAACAATAATAGGGTTTGCTCAGAATCGAACATGTATTTTGTGAAAGCAAGGCCTGCCTATGTATAGTGAAAATACTCCCACTAATCCGGCCTTTAACTGATTAGTGGGGATTTGCCAAATCATAGGATAACATTAGAGTCCTAATTGATATTGATATTTTGTCTAACCAAATTAGGCCTCTTGATTAGTTGCACAAAATAAGGACTCCAAATCTTAATGAAAACAAGATTCCATAATTTCCTCAACACCAACTAACTTGTTAACCAAGTTAATTGATTGACAAGAAATCAATAAATCATATTTATTGGCAATCCACTTGAAGCATCATCACCTTTGTATCCAAGGTAATGTCACATGGTGTTGAAATATTCAACACCAGGATTGTAATAGACAACTCATAAAATTCCAAGTACATAAAGATGCATATAATGTCACATAGGGAGCAGATGGCCGCCCTTTTCTTTTCTTGTTACGGATTACTCAAATTTGATAAAGTCATACAAACCAATCACAACACAAAACTTAACTCATTCAATAGTCCAAATAAAAACTTTCATCACTTTATCAACACAAACACTAAAACACACATATCAATTCATCTAGATAAAAACTATACGTTATGATCCACATCAATCATCAAATTTAATTATTCACAAAGAAACATTTTTTTGAACCAACTCATTAAAAAAAAATAGAAATTAATTTGAATAAGTTATGAAGAACTTGCTTTGGAATTTGAAGGATGGAATTTAGGTGGTCGTTAGAATGATCATCGGAGTGGAGTGGCAGGAGTTTGGTTGTTAGGGATTGAGCTTGGTAGAATTGGGATTTGACAATTTGAACTGGAATTGGGTTTCTTAATTCTTGGGGTTTGATGCGGATCTGTTTTTTTTTTCTTCTTTTTGTTATAAGCCAATGCTGGTATGGTTCTTTGGTAAAAGATGCCATGTATAATTTGTTTAATTTTTTCTATAAAGTAATCTGGTCCAAAACAACGTTGTTTTGTCCAAGTATACTAAAAATAATAAGAGTGGAAGGGTGCGGCAAACAGCATAGGTGTTGCGCGCATAACATCCACGTGGGTTGCTGGCAAATCCAAGCCTGCCCTACTGGCCAACAACCCAAGCTTCTATTTGAAGTATTTTATCAAACAATTGAAGGGCAATATATGACGAGCAACTCTAACATTTAAAGCGCCATCATCCAAATCATTCATAGAGAATCACTCCCTTGCCCCTGAGTGGGTCTGTCGATATTTAGATCGACTTAAATAGAATATAATAAACAGTTGATTCTGATCTATCCAAAACCGAACTTATTCCTCAAGTGAATGTTTGTGCACAAGAAACCCCAAACTTTACCCTCTCTCCAGCAGCAGGCTTCTAGCTTTTGCTTAGGGCTGGTGGCAGACACCCTTTTAACCTTTCGTATCCTCTTCCTTATTCATGTTTCTCTCATCCTCTTACTTCCCTGCACCTGCGATGGCCCTAATTCCTGTTAGGGAACGGTAGAGCAACCCACTTTCCACGAGTGTTGTGGATGGAGCTCTGTCTTCAGTCGTTTTGTCCTTCCACGCAACTGTGATGGCCCCGATTCCCGTCATGGAACGGTGGAGCAACCCACCATCAACGAGTGGTGCGGATGGAGATTTGTCTTTGGGTTTTTTCCCCATGTTTCAAGGTATCATACCTCTGATTTGGGGCTTTGCACCCAAACTCTTCCAAAACTTCGAATCAACCATCCAACCCCTCACACCCATCCACTCCATATTTGATGGATCTCATCTCAACACTTACTCGCTACTTTATCCGTGCTTCTATGCAATCGAAGACAACTATATGTTGTCACCCCTACAAAGGTCTGGTATCTTTTCGAATTGGTGTTTACACCACCTGACCTTTTTATGTTGCTGCTTGGTTCTAGGCATTCACATGCCTATTGTGTGTTTGTTTTAAGTTGAGGACCGGAACTGTGGCGACCGGAATGGGTATGGTTCATCTTGATCTGCAGATTTGGCTCTTTTTCATCGGCGTTGAGACAAAGATGGGTTTGAGTTTTGTTTTCTACGGAGGTTTCTCTTGGATTTTCTGTTCGGTAGTCATCTCCACCAATTTTGCGGTGGTGGAGGCGGCGGGTGAATCTCTGTTTAGGGTTATTAGGTTTTTCCGTGTGGTCACTTTGTATAAAAGAAAAGAAGACGGACTCGTTACAATTCTCGAATGCCAAAGAACAAAGTTTTGCCTTTCTTGATATATAGTAGACCTGGCATTCGTGTCGTCTTTCTCGTGTTCGTGTCGTTTTCGTGTCATACCCGATAGCTTAACGGGTCGTGTCGTGTAATACCTGTTAAAGTAAACAGGTAATATGACCCGACCCGAAATCAACCCGTTAATATTATCAGGTAATATGACCCAACCCGTTACCCGTTAAGAAAATTATATTTTAAATCAATAAAAATGAAAAGAAAAACATAATTTGACCCAAAAAAATGTAAAACATAATACTAAATTAGTATATACATACTAAATTTCGGAGTTGACCCCTTAATGAACGTTGTAAAGTTTTTCATTACGTGTGATTACATTTTTCACACTTATTATTATTAATTTTTCACTCAAATAAATAACATTGTTCATGAGATTTTTAAAAATCTACACTTATTTATACTTTCATCAAGTATAACATAAGATTTTATGGTATCCACTAGTGTAAATATTTTAAATTGAAGATCGAATTCATTCATTATATTCATATAGGGTCAATGAGTGTAGCTGTAAAAAATCATCAAAATCGGAGTTAAAATAACCGTTAAATCGTAATTTTTCGTTTATAACCGTCGAAAAGTTTTGTCTCATTACTTGATCTCTAAATGTTTTTTTTTTTTTTGCAATTTTTGGTGTATGCGATCTTGAAGCATATATAAACAAGTTTGACGGTTGGATCGTTGAAATTAGTTTCGTAGGATGCGTGTCCCATCAAAACGATAGATTCACTAACACTTAAGAGTTTATTTATACTTTCATCAAGTATAACATAAGATTTTGTGGTATCGACTAGTGTAAATATTTTAAATTGAAGATCGAATTCATTCATTGTATTCATTTAGGGTCAAGGAGTGTAGCTGTAAAAAATCATCAAAATCGGAGTTACAATAACTGTTAAATCGTGATTTTTCGTTTATAACCATCGAAAAGTTTTGTTTCATTACTTGATCTCTGAATGTTTATTTTTTGCAATTTTTGGCGTATGCGATCTCGAAGCATATGTAAACAAGTTTGACGGTTGGATCGTTGAAATTAGTTTCGTATGATGCATATCACATCAAAACGATAGATTCACTAACACTTAAGAGTTTATTTATACTTTCATCAAGTATAACATAAGATTTTGTGGTATCCACTAGTGTAAATATTTTAAAGTAAAGATCGAATTCATTCATTGTATTTGTTTAGGGTCAAGGAGTGTAGCTGTAAAAAATCATCAAAATCGGAGTTAAAATAACCGTTAAATCGTGATTTTTCGTTTATAACCATCGAAAAGTTTTGTCTCATTACTTGATTTCTGAATGTTTGTTTTTTGCAATTTTTGGCGTATGCGATCTCGAAGTATATACAAACAAGTTTGACGGTTGGATCATTGAAATTAGTTTCGTAGAATGCATATCACATCAAAACGATAGATTCACTAACACTTAAGAGTTTATTTATACTTTCATCAAGTATAACATAAGATTTTGTGGTATCCACTAGTGTAAATATTTTAAATTGAAGATCGAATCCCTTCATTGTATTTGTTTAGGTTCAAGGAGTATAGTTGTAAAAAATCATCAAAATCGGAGTTAAAATAACCATTAAATCGTGATTTTTTGTTTATAACCGTCGAAAAGTTTTGTCTTATTACTTGATCTCTGAATGTTTGTTTTTTGTAATTTTTGGCGTATGCGATCTTGAAGCATATATAAACAAGTTTGACGGTTGGATTGTTTAAATTAGTTTCTAAGATGTGTATCCCATCAAAACAATAGATTCACTAACACTTAAGAGTTTATTTATACTTTCATCAAGTATAACATAAGATTTTGTGGTATCCACTAGTGTAAATATTTTAAATTGAAGATCGAATTCATTCATTGTATTTATATAAGGTCAAGGAGTGTACCTGTAAAATATCATCAAAATCGGAGTTATAATAACCGTTAAATCGTGATTTTTCGTTTATAACCGTCGAAAAGTTTTGTCCCGTTACTTGATCTCTGAATGTTTTTTTTTTTGCAATTTTTGGTGTATGTGATCTCGAATCATGTATAAACAAATTTGACGGTTGGATCATTGAAATTAGTTTCATAGGATGCGTATCCCATCAAAACGATACATTAACTAACACTTAAGAGTTTATTTATACTTTCATCAAGTATAACATAAGATTTGTGGTATACACTAGTGTAAATATTTTAAATTGAAGATTGAATTCATTCATTGTATTCATATAAGGTCAAGGAGTGTAGCTGTAAAAAGTCATCAAAATCGAAGTTAAAATAACCGTTAAATCGTGATTTTTCGTTTTCAACCGTTGAAAAGTTTTGTCTCATTACTTCATCTCTGAATGTTTGTTTTTTGCAATTTTTGGCGTATGCGATCTCGAAGCATGTATAAACAAGTTTGACGGTTGGATTGTTGAAATTAGTTTTGTAGGATACTTATCCCGTCAAAACGATAAATTTACTAACACTTAAGAGTTTATTCATACTTTCATCATTTTGATGGATACGCATTGATGTTATACTTAATGAAAGTATAAATAAACTTTAAGCGTTAGTGAATCTTATCGTTTTGATGACTTGAAATAAATATATTAATTATTTATATATTTTAAGTGTTAATTAGACTATGTTTCAATTAGTATGTGATGATATTTAATAATAAAATTACATTTATGTTTTTTTATTACGTATTTTATTTTTATTCAAGTTAAAATGTTATAAGAGATAAAAAAAAAAAAAAAAAAGCTGGTTACTTTTTTTCTTTGGGTTAAACATTAGGCGGGAAATGGATGGATATAGGTTGCAAAATTTCCCAAACATTAGGTGGGAAATGGATGAAACTCTTGAAATATTAGGCGAAAAATTAATTATTATAATTTTTTTATGTTTTTGGTATTTTTAAATTACTTGATATTTTTATTTTTAATGTGTTTTATGATTTTTAATCTCAATCTTTGCCTATAATATATTATAAAAATAAATAAATAAATAAAACTTAAATTTTAAAATTTATATAAAATAATAATAGAATAATAATTAATAAACAGTATATACATATTCATTATATCTATTGCATTTTATAGTAAGTTTTTTTTAGTAGTTTAAAAAATTAAAATCATCAAAATAACATTTTTCTTATCGTGTCGAAACAGGTTACCCGCGTGTCACTTTCGTGTAAACCTGTTAAGGACCCGTTATTAACGGGTTATTATCGTGTGACCCGATAATGACCCGATTAGTTATCGTGTTGACCCAAAACCCGTTATTTTCATGTCGTTTACGTGTCGTGTTAACGGGTCGTGTAATAAATTGCCAGGTCTAATATATAGCCCTTATCCTCTACATATCCATACACTGATCTATTAATCATAGACATCAAACGTGGACTAAAGTTTTGAAATTAGTACTTCCTAGGTGTAAAAATGCATATAATGTCACATCGCCCCTTTCTTTTCTTGTTCAAAGGTGACGATGCTTCAATTGGATTGCCAATAACGCGTATACTTGAATGACAACTAAAGCATTTTTAAAATTGTTGAAACCGTTTTTAGTAAAAATATTTTTAGAATCAATTTATTAGTAAAGATGTAATTAGATCTTGAAAAAGCATTTAAAGTACTTCTGTAAAAAGTATATAACTAATACTTCATAAAAAAAAAACTATGTGTTTTTGAAACCTAAAAACCTTACCACCTTACCATCAAAAGCAGTTTCAGCTGTCCATTAAGCAACGGTCAGTTTCAACTGTCCATTAATCAATGGTTGTGTGTTGGATGGATGGTTCTGTGGTTCCTGAGAAAAGTAGAAAATTGATGGCTCATTTTCTTTGCTCTTCTATTCTGGCGCTTGTGACACCGGTTGAGTCGCATATTGGACATCATGACTGACGACAAATTGATATTGTTCGCAGAATCTTCAGTCCAACAAAATCAAAACTTTCCACGCGTCTTTACATGAACGTGTACAACTTAACATGAACATATCAAGATGTTTCTTATTTCGGCGGTCGTCTTTTTTCTTCTCAAAATTAAAGGTAAAGAAAACAAAAAAGAATGAAGTGATAGATTATTTTATAGGATGAACTGTTAGTTTAATCTTTGAATCATCACTTGAGTAAAAATTAGATTCTTAAATTATTTTTTTTTTCAGAAAAATTAGTTATTGAATTATAAAAATTTATCAATTACATCCCTAATATTAGATTCGAAGCTACTTATTCAATTTTTCGTCAATTTAAGTTACGTTACTTGCATGTAATGGCCATTGAATGGTAGATTAGAAATTTTGCATAAAGAAATAGTATGTGGAGTTAACTTTGGAGGGTAAATTAGACATTAGATTGCCAATCTA